GGATATCTCGGAATCGAAGGGAGATAGTGATTTTTTTATAGATATCTTTTTTGGAGGTCTCATCTTCTTCTATAGAAAATGTTCTTACAAGAAAATTGCTATGTCTCTTTGATTCTGAGATATCAGCGAAAAACTGGCTTGGAAAAAATGTGCTAATCCCAATTTACCACTTCAATACAGAATTAATTAAAAAATTCACACGTGTGTCCTTTTTTTGGAATGATTATGAAAGAGTTGTTTGGTAATTAGATGATCAACTGACCTTGAATTTGTTTCAGTCTCGGTGATAAATGATGAGAAAAATATGAAGTTGATGGACAGAAGTGATTGTCGAACTGACCGCACTGGTTGGATATTTTCGCTTTATATGAGTCGGTGTGTAACTCCTGTCGAGAGACCACAAAATCCCCCACCCCATGATGATGATGATGATGATGATGATGACGGGGACAGCCCCAACGATAACGCATACACGATCACGGATTTCGTTGGAAAACTCATGAATACTTCGCATTTCTTGTATGAAATCCGCAGCGAAAGTGCATTTTTTCCGAGACCAGTTTTTAGTCAATATCTCGAAATTGGAAGAAGATACCGATTTTTTCATTCATACCATTTTTGTAGCTCTCATTATTTTCTGTAAAGAATGTTTATACAAAAAATTCGCTATGTTTCTTCAATTCCGAGATATTAGCCAAAAACTGGCCTCGAAGAAAATGCACTTGTAGAAAATGTTAATCAATGAAATAAATAATGTGGAAAAAATCAATTACTTTGTTGTCTGAATATTCAAAATTGAATTAGTTAATTTTCTGTCAATCAATTCGAAGTTACGAATATTGTAAAGATTGTTTGCAGTATTGGTTTTCATTTACCTGCCTTTTGTCTTCTTAGGATTTCAATTATAGAATACCGTTTCGACGAGAATTTCTATAGAATGTTAAAAATAGAATAGAGAATAACTCTTGTACAATTTAAACTCTAGTTTTCCTGTTCGTATGTTAATGACAAAAAAACTCAGAAGAAGAATGATACATTGACATCGCCCGAAGGTCTCGTGCATCATCTCCAAAATTCCCAGTAAAACACTTTCTTCATGCCTCACTGAAACTAAATCCAAATGATATTTTCTAAATTAAAATAATTAAATAAATTACTTAAAATACGCAACAGCAATTCCATACCAAATTATTTTTCTTTATCTTCAATTAAAAACAAAAATTTGATTTGTTTTTTTTTACACAAAAATAGAAAAAAAAATTTGATCCCGTGTGATGAAAGGAAAATGTCAAACTCATTGATTTAGTTTTTCTAATTCCGCAAAAAAAAGGTGTAGTCATCACGAATAATTTTTCTACAGAGGAAGGAAAGTGAGTGAATTTCTAGATGACTCAGGGAATTAGACGAGAAAGGATAGTAAAATGTAGAGTGAAATAAAACAGGAAGACTAATCATTTACTTCATTCACAATTTTATTGTGTCACACTGTGTATCGCCTACACACATTACGTAGTAAATTATTGGTCTGTCTTTAAATCCCATGTTTTTCCTTTTCCCATCGAATCATCAGAGGAATCAGTCCAATCAGTCGCTCAGTTCAACGACACGATCGACAATTTCCTCATTATTCATTATTCAGAATTCCATCCGAGTTCCAATTATTGTCTCAAGCTTTTTTACTCACAGATAAGCAATTAGTTGGAATTATTTGCATGATTATGCTCTTTTTTTTTTATTTTATAGTTTCTCCTTCTAATTGAGTTGTGAATTGACTCAGATTTCGTCGATGATTATTCAATTTTCAATTCAATGGCTGAATAATTGAATTTATTGTGCAGAATATATTGACAATAATTGGAACTCTTGACAATGATCATAGGTCATAGTAATTAAATAATAAAAAAAAACAGAATGGGGTACAGTCTAGGGCGAAATGGATAGTGTATTGAGCATCCATTTCTAAAATCTCTCTCTAAAAAACATTACATTTAAGGCAAGTAGTTTGTAAACATGAAATGAACATATCAACAATCAATTGGAATAATTTATTGATTTCTTAACGATTTGCGATAACGGATTGAATTTGAATAAGGATTACTGAATTATTCTCTTGTTAATTAATTAATATTCAAATTACAGATTCGTGACGTACAATTTGTTTATCGTGATTTTTTGTTTAAAGTCGGGTTCAATTTAATTTTTGGCACGGAGAATATGCGGTGATTGCATCAAATATAAATTGTATTTCAGTGATAAAAAAGTAATTAGTACGACTAATTTAATTAGACTAAAAAATTACGTGACTGAGAAATAAATTCAAGGATTTCTTCAGGCCTGCTAAAGAAATGTACAAAAAATGTTGAAATAAATGCTTTTGTAGGAAATTTAATCTACTACTAAATTTCGTAATATTAATCTCTAACTTATTAGTTCTACAGATATTATTTCCAGAGTAGTGTCGTAGCAATAATTATTGAATTGAGAACAAAAGAATATTTTAATAAATAAACTAGTGCATGAAAAATGCAATTCACATACGAATTTTTAAAAATAATAGTGCATTTCCAATGGTTTTGCATCATTTTTTTACTGCGTCACAGAATCTATTTTTCTCGAACTACGTCCACGGAATTATTTATCCATCATTTGGACAAAAATACTCGTATTGAAAATCAATATTTATATTAGTTCGATAATGGCACATTTCTATAATTTTTCAGAAATAAATTTCTTCCATCTTCATTCATCAATTTTTTTTCGTGTCCAGAAGTTTCTTGAAGCTTTCAAAAATCTTTCAATTAGTGTTTGTTGCCTAAACAGACAAACATCAATCATTACACCAATAAAATATTCATAATCCTTCTCATCACGACCTGGTTATCGCAATAATCGCCGGAAAAATGGATTTTCAGTGCTGTTTCCACCCAAAAGATGCCAATTAATCAAGCAATACATGTT